CTCTAAACCCAAACTCCATCTCTCTCTCTAAAACCCATCTCTCTCTCACACATAAGAAGGTGTGCTTGTGTTCGAGCTCAAGCTAAACCTTTGGCTGGTAAACTCACCGAGAAGCGAAGAGAGAGGAGTTTTAGAGAGAGAGATGGAGTTTGAATAAGGTGTCATTTTAGCGTTTGTTTGGGTAAATAATTTATGGTTAAAGGGGTCCAGGGGGTTGTAAGATAGAAAAGATTGAGACTTTTTTCTTACAAGCAATATTTTAAATTCTTGGGTCTCATGAGATATGGAAGTTAAAAATAGGGGATATGGAGATATTTTCCCTTTATATTTTGGTGAAGCCATTGTTTAGTGGCTCTAATGGGCGGTGGCAGTTCATTGTAGATGAATGTAATCAGCTAGAGGGTTGTTAGTTGTAGACGTCCTGCTTTAATGTGACCATGGTATCTGAAGTTAAATGAAGTATTAAAACAGCAAACAAGATTGTATAAAACCATCATCATCATCATTTTAGAAAATGCAAATTCATTTATGTTGGTTTAGCTCTTTCTTTGATAAATTGTTTTTTCATAAAACTAATACTTACTGCTATTTCTGCAGGTTGGGCTCCAATCACTCAATCTAGGCATATGCCCTAAGTTGAGTTTGCTTCAGATTGATGGACCACTAATGACGGTTCTAGAGCTGAAGGGTTGTGGAGTTCTCTCCAAAGCTGACATTCACTGCCCCAATCTCTCGTCTCTTGATGCATCTTTTTGCAGGTGATTTTGGTACTTGTATCATTTACTCTTATGGTGTCCTTGTCTCTCTATTTTCTCTTGGTCTAATTACTGAATCTTTCTTTTTTTGTTTTATTCTGATGTTAACAGCCAACTCAAAGATGAATGTTTATCAGCGACTACAGAGTCGTGCCCTTACATCGAGTCGCTAATCTTGATGTCTTGCCCTTCTGTGGGTCCCAATGGATTATCATCTCTATCTCGGCTACCAAACCTGACTGTACTTGATTTATCATACACTTTCCTGATCGATCTCCTCCCCATCTTTGAGACTTGCTTACAGCTGAAGGTGACTTTTATATCCATTTGTCCTTTTCTCACAGGAAGTACGTCACTGTCACTGTTATACAAGCTTTGAATCTGAGAATGTTTGTTGTAATCCAATGAACTATAGAGATACTGGTCCTTGGCTCACCACCACTCCATTGAAATAATGGATGGTGATAAAGAGAAATTGAGACCTCATGGGTTATGCCCGGTATGGGTGGGTCTCCCACTCCCCGTTTCTTTCCATTGGTGTCAACAATTTTAGTGACCATTGATGATGCAATGGACTTTGATTTTCCACAGACTAGTAGATTATGATATCCTTGTGCTCTGAGTCCTAGTGCCTCATAGGGTCTGTCTTTTGAACAGGTTTTGAAGTTGCAGGCATGCAAATACCTTGTAGACAACTCACTGGACCCTCTTCATCGAGCCGGTGTTCTCCCATCCCTTAGAGAGATTGACTTGTCCTATGGTAGTATATGCCAATCTGCCATTGAAGAACTGCTTGCCTGTTGCACCCATCTCACTCATGTAAGTTTGAACGGTTGTGCGAATATGCATGATCTAGACTGGAGTACAAGTAGTGGCCGGCACTTCAAATGTGAAGATCTTGAAAGGTCGGATGTAGACTCTCAAGATGTGCAACCTAATCGTCTCCTTCAGAATCTCAACTGTGTTGGTTGCCCCAACATCAAGAAAGTTGTCATCCCTTTATCTGCGCGTTGCCTTAATCTCTCATCCTTGAACCTCTCTCTTTCAGCTAATTTGAGGGAAGTGGATATGGCTTGCCTCAATCTTTCTTTCCTCAACTTAAGGTTATTTCTCTTTTCTTTTTTTGAAATAAGTTTATTTCTCTTTTCGCTTTTATCATGTCATAATTTTTCTCTTTTTGATGCTATTTTCAATGAAAGATTGTGCTACAAGGGCCAGTTTGGACATGGCAGTTATTCATGAGTAAGTCCATGCCTTAAATGGACTCATTCACGAGGAGAAAGCATTCTTTGGGTATCCATCTATGCATGACGATGTCATATTTCTCTGCCCTGCTTAGAAAACAGAGAACCTCATCTGAAAAACCTGTTTTTCCTGTTCATGGATTATCCCCATTCAGTATATGAAGTGTCCAAAATGGCCCTCATCCCATGAACTATAGAAAATCATTGTTCTTTGAAGTAGTGAACCCCAGCTGTGGCTCTGCCTCTCATCACCAACCATTGTATTGGGCAGTGATGACGGCAATCGCCTGTGGTTTTTGATAGCCCATGGATTACATTTTTACTTTCCCATTTTTAATTTCTCGTTGTGTTTGGTTTTATTTTAAACATATAGGTTATGCATCTGCGCTTGTGCAAAGTACTGATTATTCTAGTTTTGGCAATGTAGCAATTGTTGCTCCTTGGAGGTTCTAAAACTTGATTGCCCAAGATTGAGCAGCCTGTTACTTCAGGTAACCTTTTCTAAATGCCTCTCTTTTCCCCCTTTTTTTGTGCTAATTGCGTAGCATTCAGTGGTTAGTTTAGACATGGTTCAAAACCCATATATGCGCTGATGCATACTAATACGTACTTGTTCGATAAGTTTTCGTGTATTATGCATTCTTTTATTTTTCTGATTTTTCCATATCATTTATTCTTTTTAAATGTGAACAAACTGAAAATATGGCGGTAATAACTTGGTTTGGTCAGGCTCAAGTGGGAATCTGAGTTCAACTGTTTGAGCATTAGGATCAGGGATGTGTACAAGAGTTAGTTTGATGTCTCTGGTTCCTCTATCACAGGCGGACTTTATGTCTCTGGTTCCTCTATCACAGGCGGACTATGTATATTCAATAAATTATGGTCATTTCTTTCAAAACAAAAAAAAAAAAATTCTGCATCCTTTTTCGGCCTCTCTTTCTGCCCCACTTTAGTTCAGAGGGGTTTATTTGAGGGGTACTTTTCGCCTTTTTTTATTTATCAAGAATAGAGAGACCTCCAACTTATTAATTGAAACTGAGTATGCCCCTGTTTTCTATTTATCAAGAGAAAATCATATATTTGTAGCATTAAAAGAAAGGGGAAAATATGGGTTATTTTTCCTCAGTTGAACCAAGTATACACATGTTTTGTTTGATATCTTGTTATAAGAAATCGGAAACTTGGCTGGGAACATGTGTGAGTCAGCTCAGGTTTGGGCCCTGGCATGTCCAGTGGCAAAACCTCGGGACTCACCTAGAGTCTTCTTCCTAATTTTTGTTTAAAATCACCATTCTGTCTTGGGACTCGTCCGAGTCAGACTGGGGGACTTTGGCGATTCTTATAAGATTTCTATGGATATGCGCCCCATTAATTTGTTATTAGTGATTTGCAAATAGGCTTGTGGAATTGAGGAACAAGTGGTGGAAGCTGCTGTCTCATATTGCAACTCACTAGAGACACTTGATATTCGCCTTTGTCCAAAGGTATAGAAGCTTTAGCTTCCCTTTCTTCATTCACTTTGTAATATATGTATATGGAAAAAGTTTATATAAGGTTGCAACTTTAAAATAGAATTAAAGATGCACCTCAAAAATCCATCGAAGAAGGTTGTTTTAATGTTGAAAAACCCTCTAATTGATCATCTGGACATCGACATGTATGAATATGAAAAAAAAAAGATTTTGAGTCCTAGAAATAGTGCATCTTGCAACACATTATTTAAACCGTCCATTTTCAAGATTTTCACATGTTTATAGATCTACTTGATTTTAACCACTTTTGGAGTTTAAAATTTTATAATTAGATATAAAAATAGAATTTTAGATAATGCTAAGAATTTTTTACACCCAAATTAATTGT